AAAATTTTAATGCTTTTAGTTCTCTCGTGTTTTTTCTTCAATTTCATAACTGCTTTATATTATTAGTCATCGTAACCAGTATAATAACCTCGGAAATTATCATCATTGTAATAGTTATATAGATCATGATTATACCATGGAAATGCTTCACGATTCATTGAACGCTTACCCAAACGTGTATCCCATAAATAATTACGTTTCATCATATGACGTCTGATGGGAGCAAATTTGGTAGATTGTTCCTTTGAGGAGGCGAAATTATCATCGGTAGCATCGATATGCTGAACAGACGTGAAGGCTATAAAACAGATTAATACCAACACGTAGTGATGAAACATGATTTTGTTCGGCTATTAAATGTGAAAGAGTATCCAACTTATGAAGATAAGCTGACAAACTGGATGTTAGTTATTTGTATGAATAATTTAATGTGCAAATGAATTGGAGATTATCTTTCAAGGTATAAATAGACTGGATAACGAAGCAGAGCATCCCATTAAATATTAAAATTATAACAGAAAACCAATCAGAATATGAGATAAAAAACATCAAAAAGGGGAAACTTGTGTTTATGATTGGCTTGTTAATTATGGACCAATTGGAATGAACGTAAAGCAGTAAACTCCATGAGATTCTATTCATTGGGTGATGTTAGGACAAACTACTCAAAAATGATATGAAAGTTTTCCTATTTGGGAAATTTCAACATTTTCAACTTAAAATACTTAAAATTATTAATGGTCTACTTACCAAACTTAGAAACTTGCATAGAAATTGGCAACGAAGCGTACCGAAGCAAACCTTATAATGTTCGATTTGCAGTTACAGAATATGTAGGGACAAAGGCTATGGTATCGCGTAGCCGAAAGCAAACCAACACTCAGGGTGGTCTCCTTTTTTATTGACCGCCGAATTGAATAGCATATAGAAAAAACCCCAAAATCTCACAGCTACTAACAAGAATTTCGACTTCTCTACAGAGTTACATAGTACTACTAAGTTTTGATTAAATTAAAAGAACAAAACTATCTAAACAAGAGGTAATAAAAGTATGATGGGTCAGTAAAATGTAAAGTCTAACTGTAAAAGACGGCAGTTGTATTCTATGATACTAAAATTTATTCAGAATTTCACCGGTGAATGATAGTTAAGCATCATATCTTGATATTTATTTATCTGAACAAATAAACATTGGTACAAGGGTGCACCAAATACATATGCGCCACACAATAACAATGAGGTTGTGAAGAAATAGAGAATGCTAAGTGCGTATAATAAAAAAGTAAAAACAACGATAAACATAAATCAGTGTATGAGAGCAAAGTAATAGTTATAACAGGAGAAACAGTTCGGTTAGGAAAAATACAACTAGAAAGAATTCTTTCAGTTCGAGAGGTTACATTCACTTTCATGAAGAAAGTAAAAGAGTTACAGCAGGTTCGCCACTGGCTTCCATTCTGAGCATTATCTGATAACATTTCTAGTCACTATGTTGCACCATCTCTATGACCCCAACCAGTAATCCGTGAAGGACCAACAGAAGCCAGTCCTGTACATCCTTCTTCCATATCACGACACCATATCCTATATGCACTGACCACCTCTCCGCTTTTTCCAACCAGTCCCAGCGTCGGCAAACAATGCACGACGTGGATTTCGCTGGGAGGACATTCGTAAGACATGTTCAAGCCACCGAAGTCGATGTTTCAAGATAGTGACACCAATAGAAGTATCGTTGCTGTGCCCGAACACACGATGCCAGACTTCTGCATTGCTAACATGGTGTTGCCACTGGATGTCAGTAATCCTTCGGAAACAACAATGATCAAACACAGGGAGTCGTCTAACATCCTCAACTCGGAGAGAACATGTCTCATAAGCATACAGCCAAACTGCTCTCACCGATGCGTTGTAGCTCCTACTTTTTTAGCCAGACTAACATCACGAAGGCGCCAAAGATAGTCTAGATTGGCATAAGCCGCTCTGGCTTTCATTATACGCCTACTGGTATCATCACTGACTCGACTACCAGCACTTACGTAGCTACCCAGATACACGAGCTTCTCAATCGCTTCTATTCGCTCGCTACCCAGGGCGAATGAAGGCTCAGGGTCCTGTCAGTCTTATAAGAGTACTTTGCACTTCGAAGGTGCAAAGCACATACGGACACTAATTACCAACTGATTGAGTGAGGACTGTATGGCTTGGGTATCATCACAATGCAAGAAAATATCCCCATACTCAAGGTCAAGTCTTTCTCCAGGCAACAGATCCACATAACCATTACCTCCATCCATCAGAGCTGTGTCTAGAAGGTCATCGATGGCAAAGCTGAAGAGGAATGTTGAGATTGGGTAACCCTGCCCTTCTTCAATAAACTATCTCAAAAAACAGTCCTGTCCAACGAATCGAAGGCGGCCGTGATATAAAGAAACACCACGATTGTTGGCATGTATTAAGTATGGAGGTATTCTAGCACTTGGTAGAGGGGGATATATGATCAATACATCCTCGCCCAGAATGGAAATCAGCCTGTCCTCGCGAGTCGATCTTTCTCAGGTTTTCAACAATCTACGAAGTATGATAGAAGTCAATAGTTTGAACGCGATCGGAAGTAGACATATCCCCCGATAGTTGTTCAAATATGACGCGAACGTTTTTTTAAAAATAAGGACGTCGGTAGATGTTATTGATTGGCATCCCGTCATCTTCACAGATTGTTTCCCTCACTTCACACTTTTTGCTCTCAGTGACTTGGATGAGTTGAGCTTCCTGTAGTTACTAGATGCAGCTGCTGCTTCCAACACGCTAACATGCAAGCTTTACCAAATTTTATTACGCAAGTCTTTGTTTGTGGTCTTGATATCTTGACATATTCGGAAATGAAAATAATCTGACTAGAAATATACTCGGCTTATCTGAATATTATTTAGATCTTACATGTTTAATATTTAATACAATAGGAAATAGGTAACAAAATGATATGAATTTGAGAGCGACGATAATTAAGTTTGTCATTAATTAACTAATGATTAGGTTTATTCTGAATCGTTTCAACTACATTTCTCAGTGCTCCCGTATTAGGGAATTAATTACACGGTCAGAATGCACAGGTAATACAAAGGAGATTTTAACAAACAGAAGTGATTGACACTTCATAAACACTTGACCAGCAAATATCAATACATGAATGCCAGATAATCCAAACTACAAATTCTGAAGCCTTGAATTTTCTAAAAGAAAACAACTGTTCTACTGAACAAATTATCTCCATAGAGATACTGCTAAGGTGATACTACGAATTCACTATCAAATAATAAATCAATAGTGAAACCAAAGTTTGGTAAAAAGACCAATAACACTTATCATCTGACTGTCATATCAATTTATCACTTGCGATTAGCGAATATGTTATAACTTGTGGTCTTGTGCCCCTATCAATATATGACGTGACGATACCGCCAATTAGAGAAGTGACTTATCGAACGGACCAATGACACATAAAACTTGTACGAGCAGTCTAGAGTTTTTACTGGTCCTTCTTCCTGACTAGCCCTGCCTGTTAAGTCTAGAACACCAATCTCAGCCTCTGCTATATGAATCCTTATTCTCAAACATACTGTGTTTATATACAAACCAAACAAACCACATCGTACCATAAAATAGAAAATAACATATGTACAAGATCTAGCCCAAAGTGGCTGTGGATGTGGGAGATAGTAATTGATAGACTGTGTATAACTCAAGAACGTTAAATGGTATAATAGTTCATAGGTCAAAATAAAGCTTATAATAAGAGGAACACGAATATGAATAGTTTAGTTACTTAACATGAATACGATAAAAATATATGTATAGTATTGGTTGATTAAAAGTTTTCAAAAGCCATTATTCATGATTCTCGTCGGTATATAACAGGATGCCGCCAAATAATTTTTCAAAATGTAACAACTGGTACATACGAAATGACAGAATAAGGATTTCATTCTGTCAATTCATTAGTTGCGTCTATATAGAAGTTAATGGGCACATTTTCGACTGAAGTCAAATGACACATATAATTACATAAACGACATTTTTCCTTTTATAGATACATGTTGTATTGTTTGTTTGTATCTTCCCATTGATGTTTAGGACTGCAATTGATCAGTCTCTTATTTTATAGGTACTAATAGTGAGGTTAGATTTTATGATGCATTTATTGTCCACCAGTATGTTAAGCAAGACTCGCAATACTAATTGATTATAATGCTAATAATTCATGCAAAATCTGTATAAGTAACCACTGCGTAGCTATAATGGCAGCAACAAGGCTTTACATATGAGGATGAGATGATGAAAAAGCTCGATTCGAAAACTTAGGGGATTGTCTATTTATCCTGATGGAGTATAGGGAAATCAGGGAGATGTTTAAAAAAAAATGAGGCCGAAAAATTTATCACGAAGTTGACAAGGTCCGCAAATGAACTGAAGTAACAATCGAGTGTAGGGATTTGTAAATATATGATACAAATCAGGTGTTTTTAGTTGTTAATAATATAATAATAAATGAGACGAATTCCTTGGGATTTCTATAAACACGAAAACATGAACGCTAACCTGAAAAACTGAAAACTGGAAAACAAAGTCGAAATATTTGCCATTACTACCTGTGATCTTCACCATAATAGGTTTTTTTTAGACTGGAATTAGTAACATTTAGAAAGATACGAGGATTACTAATTTTGGAGCAAAAAAAGGAACTTAAAGCAATTAGTCCCTTTGATAAATTTCGAAGGTGTAATAAGAAGACGAAGATAATCTTTGTCTCTTTATTACACTATCGAAAAAAAGAAACGTAAAAATCTATATTCTTGAACATAAAATATCTATCATTCAATATTCAAGGGATTCAGATACTTCCACATTATTAAAATTCCCTTAACTATCATTAATATTTTAAACCCATATACGCTTGTCATCAAACAAGAAAGCATTTTTTAGTTTGTATTCTTTTATTTGAAGGAACGACATAAATGGTACATAAATATAACTTTATTACTGTTTACTTTGGAAAAAGAAGACACAGAAATGGAGAAAAATGAAAAATCAACACCATAATGGGTGATAACCACCATAGGACAAAATTACAAACAGATACAAAACTCACAAGTACTCTCTTTTTCCTAAGCACATACATAGACGTGTAAAGTGAATAGAAAAATATAGAAACATCATGGAGAACCGAATCAATAATGATACCTAATAAAATGAACCCATAGATAAATATACAGCGTATGAAAATATAACAACTCTATGAACAAGATGCATTTAAAAAATTTAAGAATGAGTACAATAATTAAGCTTGCATAGTTCAGTTTGCAATAATTAGACAGAAAACAGGTTCAATGAATGAATACAAGTTGACCAAAAAGAGATGAGGATGTAGAGTTAGTAGAAGGAAAATTAACTTATTGACACTTACAAATGAGTTTAAGATAGAACTTAAATCTTTATAATTTTTGAAAACCTTTGGTTAATTAAATTGTGGAGTACATGATTTGATTGTACGCTCAATGAATCCATCTTTTTCTACTAAACAGATCATATCTGCCACAGTTTGTTCAACAGCAGCGCTTATAACACGAGAAGACATCTGGAAAAACAAGAGAAAACTAGTAATTACAAAAACAAGTAGACAGTGAAAAAATTATAAAAAGAGGTCCTAGAAAGTTAAATCAATCAATAAAGTATTAAATCTTTAGTGACAGACAAATCTTGAAGTGGAACCATAGGAAAAAGGAAAGGGAAAATAGATGGGACCAATCACGTAAAATTATGCATTGTAGATTGGTAACTAACTATTTTCTTAATAGCGAGAATGGGTGGATAGAAGCTTTGTGTGATTGTCTAGAAGTGAGCCAGGGATACCAGATGAAGATCAACTCAGTCTTAATACTAAACTTTCAGAGTTCGACATTGAAGAAGTCTATGATCTTTATTTCGACGCTATCAAACAAATGATTTTTGCAAAGCACTTACCGGTTCCCAGTCTGTTACGTCACTTGGAGGATATTTAAAGTATGGACCGAAATTGACAGAAACAGTAGCAGATTTATATATTGATATTGCCGGGTAATAAGCACCTGCATAGATATTCGTAAAAGCTGCTCCCATACATTTACCATTGTGGTAGAAAGTAATCTGAAAATATATTAAAAACTAAGGATAAATTATATGTAAGAAGTGTACACCTAGACACACACATTATTCCCGAAATCAGATTATACGGTTCGAAAACTCGGATAGCTAAATATTCATTTATTATTACGTCAAACGCTTCTAGCCCAGAACGTGTGAATAAACTCTTTTTGTATTCAACGTATATTACAGCATCACCGTGTAAGAATATGTATAATTTAAGTAAAACACTTCGTAATAAGAGAATTTAGTTACAACTCGATCAAAAACGTATATGTTCGCTGGAATTCAGATAAACGATGGTCGATAATCCCATAGATTATCAGGACCAATCAACATAGGACAAATGAACCCAACAAATGTGTCAATATGGCCTTGGGAAAAAAAATTAATTACCCCACCAAATTACAAGAACTGTGATGTAATATATTAAACAGATAGTTCAGTTACAAGACTAACGTCTAAATCTTGAATTCATGGTCATAACGTGTACATTTATCTTATTGCAGAATAGGAAATAAAATATAATTTAAATATACGAACTTGACAAGAAACAAATACAATTGCGTATAAAATTTATGACACCAATATGAACAGTTTAATTTTCAAAACCTGTCAGTGTATATGATAAAAGAGAAGGAAAAATAATTAAACTCTCCACCCGTTTTTATTTTTTCTACTTAATGAAACGATACTATTTGTGATCCGTAAAAGCAACCAGCTGGATAAAAGATACAACGGATTTAGACATTTACAAAAAAAAGAAATTATTTTAAGCAGGACAGAAAGAAAGAAAAAATTGAACCTTTTTATGTAGATCATGGAGTGAAAAGAGATCCAATCAGTCGTGGTAGTGGATTGTTAAAGAAAACTGAGAACAACAGCAACAAGGAATTAATCCTTTCGAGAAAATATTGGATGTGCGGATGCAAAGATGAAATTTTGTAGAATCACTATTTGTCTAGTAAAACATATTGTCACACAAAAAACGATTATTAAACACATATGTTCTATAATTATCACATGAAATATCAGGGAGGGATGAATCATATACAACCTAGACATGGAGACGACAACAGTAATGACAAAATTCATAGTGACAAGTAATGGTAGCGAAATTTAATCAACAAGCGTAATCGTTTTATTAACACTATTTATTCTTTTTTTTTTGAAAAATAACGAATAACCTAACAATAAAGTAATTAATATAATAATTAAACAAGAAAACCTAACATACGAAAAAGAATGAGTCAACGTGGATATTGTCAAAAATCTAGTAGTTGATATAATGAAAACTTTACCACTGAATGATCTTAAAATGAAGAAAAAACAATCGTATTACTGACCTAAATTGCTTAGGGTTCCCAATTACCTACAACTTACAGAAGTAATGAAAAAAGGACTGAAAGATAAAACCCCGGATAGCGCTAAAATATATCCGTTTAAACACGCCTTCTTTTGGTTTCATCTATTTGCCCATGATAAGATATTTTAACATTTTTTAAACATACTTTTAGATTGCACAGATGTTATTTGACTAGAATGTTTAAATTGAATACAAATACACAAACGCTATCAAATAAATACAACGCTTCTAAGCTACCGAAAAGACGATAAAATCCTCTACGTATTCGATCAAAATAACTTAGTAGTATGTTGTCACGTCTATACACATCAAGAAGTAATATGAGAATCAGAAAGCAACGATAAATATAAAACTAGCAAACAAGAGTCCATCTCACTTTCAAAGTACGACTATACTGTGTTGACCTTAGTTTAACATTTGAAGGAAACTAATGCATATTACCTATAAGAGTATCTGCAATTAAAAATGGTTAATATTAGTTAATTCATAACGACAAGTTTTACACACTTTCCATAAACGTTCCCGTCGACCAATTATGTAAGTCGTAGTAGATATTGTCACTACAGGTTAATTGAAAAAAGTCCTAGTGGAAAATTTCTATGGTTTATGGGTTTTTCTTATCTATATTTGATTTTAATTAACCACGTTGAACACTTTATCACACAGTATGAATGCTTGAGTGATTTTTAATCGTCAATGTAACCAAGTTGAATGTCTTGTGTGGACTATTCTGATCACTCATTCGAAAACAATTAATGTATCCTCATTAACGAGACGGAAAATTCAGTCTACTTTCTGCTTAACAGTATATATTGTTCCCCGATGGTCAATTCACTGTCAAAATATAACGAAGTCCCGAGACTGAAGTAGGAAATACAGATCTATTTCAGAGTTTACATTGACTAGACCAGGTTAGATATTAAATATTCTAGGGTATATAGAAATAAATTTATAGTCATTTAATTACATAATTTTGATATGATATTTGCACCGTTACTGTACAAAATCCATAACTATCTGATACCTTGGCAGTAAGTTGACGAGTCTGCAGCATACTCCAAACTCCTTTATAGTAACAGTTACTTATTTTTATTTATAAAATTATGATAACAATATCTGGGATACCGTAAAATGAGATTAAAACTGTCACCTTTCAATGAAATAGGAATCTATCCTATTAGATTTCACAGATTGATCGATGTCTAACTGGAATTTGATAGACAAAATGTTTTCGAAAAAACTGAGATATTTATATACAACAGGTCACAACGTCGCAAATTTGAAGAAAATTCGAAATACTGACATTTACCATAATAATCAAAAATAAATTAACAAAACACTTCTTACTCACCTTACTACCAGGCAACGGATGAAGTAATTTTTCCGCTTTTGTCGGTTCATCCTTCTCCTCAAAGTAAAAAGAATTTCGAAATCTGATGAGTGGCTAGTAGAGAAAAACAAGAGCCAAAAATTATGTGACATTTATTGAAGTCAATAATTGCGTAAACACAGTTACACGATGTACCACTTATATGAAATTTCATTCTTCATCTAACCATATTATTTAAATGGAACAGAGAATAAACTATGTAAGTAATTAAATACATCAAAAGAAATATGCGCACACGAAAATAGAAAGCTTTAAAACTTTTATCTTAATTGAAATTCAGAAATGGTTAGGAGGTGAAATATCATAAAGAATTGTAGGTCCTGTATTTGACATTGTAGAGTAAGAAAAATATCAATCAATCGTATAAAACGTAGGACCTCCCGCCAATGTCCATCAGCACAGATTTCCATACCTCACATTACTTTCTTTTTTGAAAGTTACTAACCACAGCAAAGCAATGCTGGTTAGTGATGGTTATCCAGAAAATGATAAAAATACATAAACTGATAGAATTCACGTAGACGGCACCAATTAATTATATATACCTACAAACAAACTCATTTCATACATTTATTCCACCTGAGTGCTAAACTGTGAATCTTAAAAAGATTTAATGATATATCATTAATAATCAATGGTACGTTGAAGCCTTCATATTAGGTTGATCTTCAGATGATACTATGACTCAGCGGCAATATATTGCGAAATTTGAAAAACGTTGAAAAATAATAAAATTAAAATTAAAATCAAAAGATGAGCCTACACGATCTTTATATGTCTCAGGAAGATAATTAGAAGTAGAAAATAAAGTCTTGTATTTATTCGGATTCTGTCCACTAGATGTGTTGTTCAGGTTGGATTTAATGTCGCCAGCCACAGATGAGAAAGAATTCGCCTGGGGCGTTTTAAACAGTCCAGAAGACTCTGCACATTGATTCTCTAACGACGTGAAAGGACCAGTAGTTGAAGGTAAATGGATCATACATCCAATAATATCATCTTTTTTATAACCTTCATCAACGTAATGTTTTCCCCGCGACTCATGAAATGCGGTGCCAAGACGTGAACGCCAAGAATAACTAAACTTATCATAACCACAAGGTGCTTGTAAGTTACCTGTAGTTATAAAGATGATTATAAAGGTAATTAACTGCAGAAAATGGTACGTAAATATAAATACCAATCATCAATAATACAACTGACCTGAAATATAATTATTCAATAAATGCTAAATGATCAAAACTAATAAGCTGAAAAGCTTCAAAATATAAATCGAGTATAAAACAGAATGGAATATTTAAGTGGCTAAATATAGTGGAAGTATTATTTTGAATAAGTATATCGATAAAAAGTGTACAGTGGTATACGAAAGTTTTAATTGTGTCATGCTATTTAAAGACCCAATAGTAAAATATTTAGGATAATAAAATATACGGTTATTTATCCAGCGTATTCAACGTAATTCAGGTAGCTTAGACATAGAAACTTTGGTGAATAAAAAACCTGAAACTATTCTGGAAAATGTGAAACCACTTTTCAATAACCTTTAAACGAATGAAACAAATAAAGGCATTTTTCGAATTCTTTCGTACGATGAAATTGTAGTGTACATTGTAATGTTTCTGCACCTCTTTGATCCAATGATACCCAACAAACTTCTGTTTGGTCATCAACTCCAAAATACTTTCTTCACTCTACGGAGATACTGCGTAAGTAAATATAAAGCCGAGAATCGTATATTTAACAAAACTAGATATTACGACTCAATATACGTAGCAATTTTTGAAGGTTAACTTTTGCGGTTTGGATATGTCTTGCTGATTCGGTCCTAGTGACTTCTATATAGAAGTGATGTTTAAAAAAATGGACATAAATGAGAACAACACTGTCTTGATATACACAGTAATATCCTAGACGTGATAAATGATTTAACTCTGACAGAACCGTTTAATCCAAAAAATATCGGTAACCAATAATACACTAATCCCGACATTCAGTCAGATAATATATACTTGATTGGGTTTCAAAAGCACACACTAAAACGTTTATCAGAATAACAGAAGAATAAATCATCAGTAACATAAGTCTGGAATTTCCGTTTTAACGTCATGTTATTCACTTGCTTTACACTTGATCCAGTGAAGTGAATATATACTTGCATACTGCAACAACTCAACTGTATACAATATTTGAGGTATAAGTTTGGTTAACAATATGGAAGTGTATGAAGATAGAAGTTCATTACTTGTATCACTGAACTAACGTCCCAATTTACTTATGTTTTTGAGAAACTGACCATTTATCATCAAAATTGATAGATATTCGACAACTCACCATACATTTGAGACCAACCGATTCTAGTTGCAGAACCTTCTGGTTGCTCTGTGATAGTTGCTTCGAAGTACCAAGTACCGGAATTAACGCTATGAGTGGCACGGACCATACAATAACCCTTCTCACCAGTAACTGACAACTGAGATTCGTGAACTTTCAAATGATTTGCTATGATGAGGACAAACAAAGTACATAATAAAACTTAGTCAGTTCAATGTATAGATAATTTCCATTTACCTGCACTATTTATGAAATAACTCAATCCCAAGGCAAAATAGCGTTTGAATGTCACGCTTGTTTTTTCACGTTGATAAGAAGAAGGGGAAGACACTTTAATTATAAAGCTTATTTAATCTCTTCGGATGAGAGTGAATAATAAGGAAATGATATTATTGATATTATGATATTACGGCTTACTACGATTTGTTTTCCTTCGATTTCGAGTCTTATAAATAAGTATTAATATAGAATTGTGCTGATAAGTCATCAGATATATTGATGAGAATTTGCAACAGCTTGATAGGCATTTCAATTATACATATCTACATCTTTGGAATAAGAACATATTAACATTTAAGTTGTGGATGCTGGCATAATTCAAGAACTTTTCAGCAGAAAAATGTATTCAGTGAACGAAAGCAAAAGAAAAGTTGGTTAGGCATATAATACCTTTTAAGACTTGAAAACAATGACATTTGATCAGCTTGCGGGACATAACCAAAATTTTAAGAAAGACATATCCTATGAAAACCCGTGAAATCCGAGCGCCACAAGCAATGTACAAAATCTATAAACGCACGTTGTTATACAATGAATTCCTAGTTTTACGTTTGCAATAAAATGTACGTTAAACAGGCCTCTATGTTATATCATGTCTACCGAGGCGGCATTGTTGATGATATCTTTGGATGGTCAAATTAAGAGATAAAACCAGTCTATGGATTTACTGTGTGCTTATGTTATGTAAACTGTTGTAGATGACAGCTCAAAACCTATTTTAGGGGGTGAGATGGACCCATTTTTGAAAATAAATATATTGTACACTGACTTATTTTCACGCATCTCTAGTATAACACTCAAAGACAAGTGTCAACTTGAAGTGAGAAACCATCATTCAGGCTCTATAATGTCCAGCTTTTATACGCCATTCCAAAAATCTAAGCAGATTTCAAAAAATCCCTGACGATATTTTATGAAAACTACTACAAAAAGAAAATATTGGAAAACCCAGATTTCATCTGAGAAAAAAGTGATCTGAAGAGTTAATTTAAGTATTTTACGATAACATTAGGCTTACCACGATCACTCAAAGATAAAACTACTTGTGAGCATAAAAACACACGATAAAAGAAACCAGGTATGGGTTTCCCAGCTGTAAACTCGCATTCGTCCCACTGCTCCCGACCGGAGGCATGTTTATCCGGTTCCACTAAAATGTAACTAAAATTTTTTTAAACCAAACAGTTACGAGATGTACAGTACAGTAGAATATATATATATATATATATATATATATCAAACCTGTTCAAACCCCACCATATAAACATGTACTTGATAGATGGGTCGCATTTATGTAAGATATGTGTAAGCTGACTGAGACCGTAAATAAACGAAATCAGATGGTAACCTTTTTGCATGGCTTTCACTTAATTAAATTGCGGAAAGGTATACAGTGTGATAGCTCATGATGGAAAGTGAGTTTATATCACTAATAATTTCACACTAGCTAGATGAAACGTAGACACTTCATTTCCTGAAAAAGCGCTAATATTTATATATATATGTATATATATATACCCATTAGTCCGGGTCTCGTAGATATTTAAATAACCTAAATCTTGATGCGTTGGGATTTGGAAGTGAAATAATAAGATACTGACTTGTAAAAATAAGCGTCTACACACTGAAACTGTTGTTAGAAGTAAACAAGATGATTCCATGTCCCATAAGAAAGTTCATCAAGACACACTTGGAATAACTGACTATGAGGAATACCTACTGCATCAAAGCTAACAACACTATTGTTTTGTCTTGGCGGAATCATAAAACAGTATGCAACTATATATATATATATATATATTGCATGGTATTTGAGTTCGTAATTAGCTCTTTACACCCTCCCGTAAGCCTGTCCCAACAGTACAAATTTTGCAATACTCAGACATTGATCCTGTTCTCACTTAATTTTGTTACTTTTACTTATTTTTCTAGATGTTTTGCTTTTATGTTGTTGAGACGTATAGCAACTTTAGGCGACTTACTATGAAGTCAAATCGTACGTTGGTCTAGTCGTTTTGCTACGTGTGAAGACAAAAGGTTGAACACTAACTTAAGAATTAATTGGTGCTTTCTGTAAGTAGCGAGTTAAGTGAAGAAGTAGTGACAACAAAATGTGAGAACTTCTAGGTAATAAAAGATACATAATAAAGTTTTGGAACTAAGCATCCAATAGATACTACAGGGTGACTATTTCAATACACTAGAGATTATTGCCGTCTAAAAAAAGTCAATGTTCTTCTACCTTGGCCTCCGAATGCCCTGGTAAGGCCAAGAGTGGGGAGAGTCTACTCTCCGTCTCGAAATGCTCTTACATGGCCACGCGTGTACAGCCACTGCCAAGGAAGTCCTACTCACTGCCTTCTTGTGGCGGGGGTGTTGTTCACGAAATTGAGAGGACGAAAAGCGAATGTCCGGCGCTTTAACCTGGTCGGTAGACACGGAGAGTCTACCTAGGAGAGTTGGAAAACCCTGATTCCAAACCAATGGTGCAAATGGGCTCCAGTACCCTGAGGGAACAAATGGCGTATGAGTCAATCGTTGGTCATCGGCTACCATGGGACTGCATCTCATTACGATGCTCCACTACCTTGTGGATCAGATCTTTAAGTCGAAGGCTCCGGGTGTGGCCCCCTAAGAAAACCACCTGCTTCGGTTTGGGCACCCGGGCAGTATCACAGCCTACACAAAAATTATTTTGTGTGGCGCATATGTACCTGGTGCCCTTTTGTACCAATATATATGTGTTTAAATAATAAAATAATATTCTACCTTGATAATAAGATTTGCACCTAAAAGAACTTCATGAGAAATATATTTTCCATAATAAGTCTTGAATGCTTTAATTGTAAAATGTAGAACAGTGGTAGGTTTTTTTCAAATTTTAACTACAAACGAACGTTGAACGTATATCCAGAACAATAAACTTACCGATAACCTTCCTTATTTAGTGCATGATCAATCGGGAAGCCCAAAGAATTTAACTTTGCACGTCCTTCATCAGAACCTGAAGTTCCACTTAAGGGTGTGGTTCCACCAAGAACAGATGCCGAAGTGGCTCGACGAGTTGAACGTACAAGACCACTGGATAATCCGTTATTTACATCCCCATTTGACGAAGCAGCAGTTCTAGTCACAGGGAACCCTGGGACATCAGCACTAGTCACAGCACCAAGTGCTGCACTTTCTGATGATCCACTTGGAACAGTAGATATCACTGAAGAACCATTGTAAAAGTTCCCCATCCCACCAGATAACCCACTGCCAGGAGATTTGCGTTTACGCCAAACAGGCACATCTATGCCATCGGCTTCATTGGTGAAAGGCAACTGATTATTAGAGGAGGTAAGAGTTGATGATTGATCAGCTGTATCAGAAACGGAACCTGATATACATGGTTGGGTCTGTGACACACTGTTTGATATGTTAGCGGAAGGAACTCCTAGTTTAGTAATATTTGTCCGAAGTTGACTTGTGAGAGCACGAAATCGATCATAACTTGGACCAATCTTGGTAAGATCCTAAAAACATACAAATGAAACAAATTGATTAAACTGCTAAAACATAAATTTAGTCTATATGTAAACAGCGTTAGTGAATGTATCACTTCTTCCAAAAAGCTTACTTTTATACGCGAAAAATGTTGATGAGTAAATATTAGGCTTGCAGACTGAATATTCTTAATTTCTCCCTACGAAGATTAGATAGTAAATACTTAAAATATGCTTAAGCTGCTATGACCAAAACAGATGGACCAACTTAATTGAATAAAGATACAGTTTGATAGCGAACTCTGATACATTTTAGGTAAATTACGTACTTAAACGTACAAACTACAATTGTCGGGAGGCTCTAATAATAGCATATATGCATTGGATAAAACTTTGAGCGGAAATCTCACAAACGCAAGATCTTAGGTAATGACACGACCATTTAATTTATTTGAACACAAATATTTGTAAAAGAGGGCACCAGATACATATGCGCCATACAAATCTCATTTGGTTTGTGTGAGGGCTGTGATACTGCCCGGGTGCCCAAACCGAAGCAGGTGGTTTTCTTAGGGGGCCACACCCGGAGCCTTCGACTTAAAGATCTGATCCACAAGGTAGTGGAGCATCGTAATGAGATGCAGTCCCATGGTAGCCGATGACCAACGATTGACTCATACGCCATTTGTTCCCTCAGGGTACTGGAGCCCATTTGCACCATTGGTTTGGAATCAGGGTTTTCCAACTCTCCTAGGTAGACTCTCCGTGTCTACCGACCAAGTTAAAGCGCCGGACATTCGCTTTTCGTCCTCTCAATTTCGTGAACAACACCCCCGCCACAAGAAGGCAGTGAGTAGGACTTCCTTGGCAGTGGCTGTACACGCGTGGCCATGTAAGAGCATTTCGAGACGGAGAGTAGACTCTCCCCACTCTCAGCCATACCAGGGCATTTCGGGAAAGACCATACGCAGTTTGTTGTTACTCTGAAGTCACAAATCACCAACTAAAGGAAAACATGTAGGTTGAAAATAACTGTTTTCACAATACGGTATGTCTGCAATGAAATCACCCAATGAGTACTCCCGAGTTCAGACGCTACACTTTAAGCACGGGAAATTGGTTGTTGTAGAATTACTAGGCACTTTTGATAACAAATAATGTAAAACATAAAGCAAATAAAAATTTATTAACTACTTTGAACCATATTGTATGATGGTTATTAATACTACTAAAACGAAGTAGCTGATATGGGATTCATACCTAGGAACTGTCTGTTGAAAGTCAAAAGCCTTTTATCTATATGCTGTTCATAATGCATAAAGGTTCTGGTACAATAAGACAATGAAAGAATATGCCATACAAACTTATATGATGTTGTAACGGCAGAGATGAAGATATGATCGATTAGTAGATGAACAAAAACGATACTCAGTAAAGGATATGAATCTTTCTGAAATATTACCAAGATAAATCTCATTCATCCAGGAAAAATCATTTTATTCATATGAGGAAAGTAGAAGAGAACTAAAAAAGGACGAATATCGGCTCCAATTCTGAAAAATCTCTGATAGCCACTTCAGTCACCAAACTGAATGATTTATTGAATTCCAACTAAAGGACTACAAGGTACCAATAGACCGCAGTCCTATATAGCCATCTTTTGTTTTAGTACCCCACTCATCAACCGACGGATTCCATTTTCTATCACACAGCTACATTCCTGATAAATAATGTTCAATATGGAAGCCATTGGGTGACGTTTGTAAAAGATGCGCGAGCCACAGATGATATCAACCGAGTAATCATCACTGAGCGCAAACACAGTCTGACTTCAGAATTACTTGCATGGTGTTACCAATAGATGGAAGTGACTCTTCAAGGTAAACGATGATCAGCCACCATATAGGCCTGTGTTCTTTCCCTAACCATTAACCCATTAGTTTTTTTAAAAAGACGATAGCGGCATTCTGTTCACTAAACTCATTGGATCTTCTGATACATGTATGGAGAACTGTTTCAGCACTCTCGAAATACATCTTGCCCATAACCGTATTTGAGGAAAGTGTGCATAGTGCACTTACTAGTAAATGAGTCTAAAACACTTAGTTTTACCATACTGCCGGAAATAGTTGGAATCATGAACTTCGTAAAGTAGGTTATTCCAAGTTATGAATCCACAAGTCACGTCTCCACGATCCGCTAAATGTTTCAAATCTTCTGCCGACAAATCTACGTCACCTGCTTAAGAGTAACCACTAAACCTATGAAGGTACAGAGAGGCTTGAACAAACAGAAATTTTGTTAAGCACAATGGATTAAGATGGTTTCGTGGCCATAATGTGACCGAAGTATTAGTAGGTAATTCCGTCAAGATGTTAAGAAAGCTTCACTAGATAGCACATATATGTCACAAAAATTTTTGGATAAAACAGGTACTTACAGTGTTCGACAGGCATACACAAAGACCATCTGAAGTTTCTACGGTCTTGAATACATCACTACTAGTCTGTGGTAATAGATAAACAACCATAACAAACCAAAGTTTTGTGGATATTTGGATACCAAGAATTATTGGACCTTCTGGGTTGTGTAGTAAGTTCTTCCCAGTACTCCTCTAAAAAAGGGATGAGTTCCTTCATTTCCATGAAGTACAAACGCCCTCCATGCTTCAACATTAGGTTGGCAAGTGCTGTTTGACACATAACTGTAAAATTTGCCTGCTTTCTGGAAAATACTTCCTCGCCAATTGGGTTGCATTTCTTACACATGAAATGGTAAGCTGTGAGGAAGGGTAACGCTTTTCTTCAAAAAAGTATTGATTATTTTAATGAAAATGTGGACAAACCCTATGTTGAATGCTATACATTCAAGATGGAACCACTTGTAACAAACACTGCATTGAAAATCTGGCCGGCTAAAATCACGTGGTGACATGCTGAAATATTGTTATGTGAATGAAAACCACAAACCAGTAGCACTGGGAGCCAGGAGGTGTCGGTATATTTACAACCACTGACAGCTGAGTATTCTGATCACAGTCCATTTTCTCTGTGTTATCCAAGACTTCAGATTTGCATTTTGATGCATCTATCACGCTATCGTTAGTCTGTCAAACATTTAGAACTGCAAAATAAGATCGGAAAATACCATCGAGAGGAAAGTTTTCCTTTGTAACGATAAGTTTAGACTGAGCGCTATTCAATACCCAATATCTTTGTATCGAACGGGTTTAAGTTACTTAACCTTTTACCCCTCACCTCTGGACACTAAAGCTTGACTTCATGCCCATAAAATCCTTCATTGTGAGTCATCTAGATGTTCGTGTGCTCTACTGTTCGTAAATTTTATAGTTTCGCTTGTATGAACATTACTTGAACACAGGTGAATGTTTTTGTTACACAGCAATGCCAGAATCAAAGGCTACTACAGTGCCAAGCAGGAGTTTGTTAAATTGAAATACGAAAACCATAAGTTACAATAAAGGGGAGAAAAGAAAAGACAATGGTTAGGGTAGGTTAATAGATTTGTAGTACCAGAATCTATCTCTGAGCCCTAGCCAAACGGCTACAACGTTTAGTGGTAGAATGCTGAACGTCGAACAACTTACTAAACCTCTTCAACGTCGCATGTAGCCGGCGCGGATCAATGAATTTCTCCGGCTTATTCGTCAATGTCCTTACTCTATACCTCTATAATCTTCTACCCCTAATGACATAATCCATTTTAATAAGGTTCCGGTTTTACTTGCCAGTGGCTAGTGCAGTTCCATTACTTGGTTACTGTGATAGAGAAAGACAGGTTGGGCACCTGTTACCAGATGTGGCTTCGAAGTAAGCTAGGTGGTGAGTCACGCCATTCCCACCAAACTTGAGTTGACTCATCATCTATATTGGTGAACTACATAACTACCCTGACGATATAGGGCGGACAAGATTGCAAGGAAAACGGATTAACGGATATGAAAAGCAGAAAAATGAGTAAGAATGAACAAACAGTAGCATTGGTGGGAATATTATTGGTAGTACGTTTTAGACGTATAAGCCACAGTTATTTCAAGTGAAGCAGAGCAGACCATGTGTGAGTATGTGATCGTCTTGCCTCCTCTCGAAAGAGTCAGTTAAGAAGGCTATGCTCACGTCTTATGGAAGAATATTTCAGTTAGAGATCGTTTGCAGCAACCACGTATGTGACTTTGTAGTAGGATTGGCTCTAACCACACAATACTCGAAGCTGATCATAAGATAATTGAGAAAATCAACACATATGGACAGAAAACAGACTTTCTAACTTGAACCAAAGATAATAACAATATCAACATTGATACGAATATTAATCGTTATCGATTTCTAAACACAAAATCCTTTTACTGCTCATAAACTGTTAACCAATGGTTATTGCTATGCACCTTAATATAACATGCTAAAATATTTCTGTGCTGAATCATTCTTGATTATGATAATCCCACTTGCTTAACCCTTATATGATCTTCAAATGGATCTCCATTTTCGGCGTGTTGAAAATGAAACCAAACATTTTTGAAACTAATACATGTATTTCCCATTTACTTGATACTGCATTCTTTTGGATTTATCATTCAGTTTACCGACAGCCGGGGGGTTTGTATTATTCCACCTAAAACCTGAACGTAAAAATCCCACGTGACTTTGCATCGAACTAATGCCAGGTTGGTTTTGATGGTGGATTCGTGTGTTAGTATTAATTCTAACCACATGACACTCGAAGCTGAATATTAAACAACTGAGAAAACTCACACTCAACATTTAGCAAACTGTAAAGGGCAGTAATGATAAATGTAGGGATGATTGATAGAAATGACATGGCACAGCTATGCAGGAGTGGTCACCCTATGTAACCTATTGCTTTTCTCATTGATTATATTACTCTCTACCCAGGCCAAGATGTGCTCTTCAGAAGTGTTAAATGCCCTACTGCCTAATGTCACGTAGAATGAGTCAGTATAAACTGCCATCTGACTTCCATGTAAGATCTTGTAGCTTAGGTAAGCACATCATAACGAATTTAAAGTTTTCAGATTGGGCCTATTATTATAGTAGCAAAGACAAATGTACCAATATCGAACTACACTACGTATGTTCACGAATTTTCCCACAGTCTTTCACGATTTCTTTCAGGTTGTCGACAAATCCAGAGAATTCAGGTCTTCTGCATTTTTGATATTGAAGATAGTCAATATCATACGGAACTCCTATGATGGACTAAACTGCCAAATCGTTCACGGAGGACAACTCACCGACTCGTTTGAAGTAAAGACTGGTGTTAGACAAGGTTGCTTACTCTCACCCTTTCTCTTTCTCCTGGTCATCGACTGGATCATGAAGACGTCAACATCTGGAGGAATGCACGGGATACAGTGGACAGGCAGGATGCAGCTTGACGATCTAGACTTCGCGGATGATCTGGCTCTTCTATCACAAACGCAACAACAAATGCAGGAGAAAACGACCAGTGTAGCAGCAGCCTCAGCATCAGTAGGTCTCAATATAAACAAAGAGAAAAGCAAGATTCTCCGATACAATACAATGTGCACCAATCAAATTATACTTGACGGAGAAGCTTTGGAGGATGTGGAAACCTTTACATATCTGGGCAGCATCATTGATGAACGCGATGGATCAGATGCAGACGTGAGGGCGCGGATTGGCAAAGCAAGAGCAGCATACCTACAACTGAAAAACATTTGGAGCTCAAAACAATTGTCAACCAACACCAAGGTTAGAATTTTCAATACAAATGTGAAGACAGTTCTACTGTATGGGGCTGAGACGTGAAGAACTACGAAAGCCATTATCCAGAAGATACAAGTGTTTATTGCCAACTGTCTACGCGAGATACTTCGGATCAGATGGCCAGACACTATCAGCAACAAGTTACTGTGGGAGACAACAAACCAGATTCCAGTGAAGGAAGAAATCAGGAAGAAGCGCTGGAAGTGGACTGGGCACACCTTGAGGAAATCACCTAATTGTATCACAAGACAAGCCCTCACATGGAATCCTGAAGGTCAAAGGAGAAGAGGAAGACCAAAGAATACATTACGCCGAGAAATTGAGACAGACATGAGAAGAATGAACAAGAACTGGATAGAACTAGAAAAGAAGGCCCAGAACAGAGTGGGTTGTAGAAAGCTGGTCGGCGACCTATGCTCCATTGGGAGTAACAGGCGTAAGTAAGTAAGTAAGCATTTTCGGGCTGCATCTACTCTGGTTTATTGAATATCTTCAAAGCTATTTTCGAATTCTCTCAAACTGAAGAACCTTTGGTAGGGCAGTCGCTATAGAAACATAACATCCAGTTCTATGAGAGCCATATTGGAAGCACACTGTCAAGTCGTATTGACCATTGGTAAGAAACATTGAAACAACGCAAATATAAAATTTAAGTACAGAGTACAAAGAGACAAACAATAATTTAAATGATCCATCAATAAGAATTCTATGAACACTTTCCAGCTGTAACAAATGCACATACTAGGAGACCAAAGCAGTATGCAATAAAGTGAACCACTTCCTGTTATTCAGATACAGAATGCTAAGCGTCACTTTATAGACTAAAGTAGATTACTTTTGAACACTAGATGACCTCAAACTTATGCCATCATAACAACAGGGAAATAAATCTACGTACATAAGAATACGCATACACAAATGAAAAATCGTTGCGCCTTACGGAAGCTGTACTTTGATGAACGGCTGCTGGTTAAGAGTTATTTCAAATAAAATTCACAGAACTTTATATGAAGACGTAGTGTGATAAATACGTAATCAGCCTGTTAAAAACGTCAACTTTCATGTATTACTTGGTACTTCTTGATGGTGTTCTCCAGATAATCTAACGGGTTTCAACAGACACAACCATAAATCTTTCTGAAATGTCGGAGCTATTAATGGTGGCTCTGGAAGTATTCATATGATTTATCTATGTGGTTTAGGTGGTGTATCACGACGGCACTGAAGAAGTAAAAGTAAAGGGGAAGGACCAGGATGATATTCATAAGTGATGAAGTGAAATCACTTTTGATGGAAGAATTAAGATATGGTCATCCACTTACTTTCTCAGGATCAATTTTTATATAAGTGTCTCTAGTTAAGAAAACAACCCACCAATACGGCAAAGAATGGGTAAAGAGCTGCATAAGTGGAGGGAGCTCAAAATAATCGAACAGGTCAATACAGTCCAGATCTCTAGAATGTGGTAAGGAAAACAAAGTGTTTGGACACAAAAACAATATCACGACAACTGTTATAACATGTTTCATTAACTGTCCAGTTAGGTTGTCGTAAGTTTTTTAGCGGGAAGTGGCACAAATTCAAGGTTACAAACATGAATAAAAGGGGTGGTTGTTTTAGTAAAGTAGCATTGATACTAACAATTAGTTACACCCTTCCAGATCACAAGGATCAATAAGAAAACATAGTTTTCTGCCCTATAGTCATGTGGGCATTCATGTTGTCTCCATACCACAATGTTTAGTGGTCGTAAACGCCATCCCACTTATATAATGTTAGCCTATCCCTTATGTCAGTGGTTCGTTTTGATATTCCTGTAATCTAGGCTCTATATTAAACACCTTGCTGGACTAGATTGTTTTAGTCAGTTTCGTGTTTCAAGCACATCAGAGGTAAAGCTTCCATATTGTGGGTAAGATGTCGATTCAGTATAACACATTGATAGGAAGTTAATTGACAGTATAAATGGTAAGGTAATGGTCAAATGGTACGTAGCTTGGGGATGGTGGTGATAAACAAGTAAGCAAGTAAAAAAACAACTTATGGCAGTAGTTCATAAGCCTTATAAAGACCTACGGTGAGCGCAATGTAATTATCCAGTCATTTACTAATCATACAGAACAAGCATATATAACAGTAAGTAAAACGCTTTCTGAGATTACCACTTCCCTGATGCTTTCTCTGTTATGATACCTTCGCTTATATCTATTGCAAGTCGAGTCAATAACAAACAATTATAAATATTTGCAATATAATTCCTGTTACTGACGAGTTATGTAAAAGAAAATTAGTATGTGCGCTTCAGTAGCATTAGATGTAGCGAAAATAATGTTCTGAGATTGCCTCAAGAGAATTTCACTTTAATTGAGATCATGAAACGACCTACGTTCGATCACCATTGAGAACCTTGGGGCACTGGAGAGCTGTTTCGCCCTAGTAGTGTATAATATGTAAGCCAACTAGTAATCGAAATAAATGGTCTGCAGGTGTCGAAGGGTGTGTAGATCACCAATTTAGGTTGCAGTCTACTCGAGTTTAAGGGAAAATGTAGAACCTTCAGATTTACGTCCAAATCACACCTCTAGGTTAGTATCTAAATTGAA